AACAATACCTTTTGATTCATCCACCTGAATCTTCATTGGCTTGCAATGATAAGCTCACATGTTTTCTGTTTTCTTTTTCAGGGGCTGAAGCTGCCAGCCTTGAGCGAATTCTTGGCATTTCAGTTTTGAGACACACTGGCAAAAAGCCTTCTGGCGGATTTGCAGAAGTGGAGCGCTACTTTGGGTACACGCCAACGCTAGCAACACATCCAGCACCACTAGAAACAGTGCGATGGATCACCTCTGCTGGGATTGATCTGTCATTTCCCTCATCCCTGCATAGAGCACAACAAGCATCAAACTATGTGATGCGTAATGGCTCAGAAGCACAATGGGAACATCACAATGCACAGAAAGATTAGGAACCTCAGCTGCTTTTCAGCAGCTTGCAGACAGACATCAGTATTCTTAGTGTTTGTAGTGAATTTTGTGGCAATGTACCTGTCCAACAGGATGTACTTGAGCTGCCTGAAGCCAAGTTTGGTGTCACTGCAATAGAATCCATTAGGAAGAAATAGTGTGCAGAATGTGGACGTGGATGACAATCTGTGCAGGTGTGCTTATGACTTTTGAAGACAGGTTTCAATACTCGTGAACTGTCACATTTCGTGCTTGCGGGCCGTGCTTTTGTTGCACTCACTCTTTCTCAACTTTCAGGGCCACATTGCACGTGAGAGTTCACATTCCGTGTCCCTGGTATCAGAAAACATGTGCACAACTTGTTACCTTGTGGTGGCGTAAGGTGATGGCAAAGGGTCACATGGCATGACGCCCAAGGAACAAATATGGGAAGTGTGAAGGGATACTCAGAAACTGTGTTGTAAATTCCATTGTGCCCATATCCCAATGATTGAAGAACAGTAGTGCTGCTCTGTGTGACTAAAAGTGCCCTTGATACCAAGATGACATGTGCCAAAGGTGAGGATGAAGTGCTATTGAACGCAATTGTAGTTGCATAGTGATGTGGTTAACCCAGCTGCAGCCAGCAATGCCGCCTGCCCAAAACAAGTACTATGTCAAGTAGTGGGAGTGGCCCATAACGGACATGTTGTGCATTGGCTGTCCCTGATGAAAGTAAAGACAGTAGACCCAGCGGTGGGCACATGCTGCTGCAGATGTCGATCGCACGAATTGGTGATGGTGGGCGACCGCTACATGACAGACATAGTGTTCGGGAACCGTGGCGGGATGCTGACCATCTATGTGACGCCTTTCAACACTACAGAAGAGCCGATTGGTGTCAAATTGGTAAGGATGATGACAGGTTTGATTTCCGTCCGACAACCTGTTTGGGCTGCTGGCTGCTGCTTTCCTGCCTTATTGACCATTCTTCCAATTGCTTGGAACTGTGCTTCGCTTGACAGTGACGGTGCATTGATATGTGGAACGTTAAGGAATTGGGGGTTTGGGCCCTGTGTGGGTCCGTACCGTTACATCTGTTAACAGATACACTCGCCATGCACATGCCACTGTGGGGACAGTGTCCATGCTCTAGCCGATGCCTTCGCGGGCCGCTGTGGTAGCACATGCAAAATTTCACACAAACGAACCAGAAGGTTCCTCTGACCCACGATGTATTTCGATTGCTGCGTAGATACACCAATCAACCCTGCGAATAGCTATTTGGACCACTGCCACAAAAATGGCATCGGCAGCAAGTACAAGAGACTGTGACGACCCAAAAGTCCATGACCATTGTGGAATTCTTGTGGTTGCATTGGTCCCACAGCATGTGGCAGAGCACAAGACGGCACTAACCGCTGTACCACTAGCAGACTGTTCTATGTGACATTTATTACTGATGACTGCACAGACTGCACCAGAGTGACAATGGTCTTGCCACCTTTTTCATCATCGTGGCCGATGCTCAGATGATTCGACAAGTGCCTCATGTTGCCCCTGCACCACATGCAATGTGGAGGGAAGGCCACCTGTAATGGGCGGGCAAGCGTATCATAATACTGTAGTATATTCAACCCTTGTGCATTTCGAGATTTCAGTGTTACGATTTTTGCCCCACATTTTTGCGACCGACCGTTGTTATGGGGGCTCCACATCATGGTGACAGCCGGAATGGCGACTCCGCTCAGTTCGCATGGCCTCAGACGCCAGTTTTCGCCAAGGCGACTCATGCATCTGGGGCCACTAGACGCCATGAGCAGTCCAGACCCCCTTGTATTGCGGCAAGGACTGCTCCACATTTTCTTGGTACTGTTACAATTTTATACTATTGCTATGCATAAAAAACCCAAACGTTATGTACTATGCGGAAGGATACAATATTCTACGGTATTTGCCATGCATCATAGCTATTGTGAGCGCTGTCACATAAGAAGTGTTGGTGGCTGATCGATGGTCCTTGTATGTGTGTGCCAGAGGTAAAGTAGCACACACTGTTAATTGCTGAATTCTTTGGCAATGTCACCACACGTTAATCTGCATGCTGACACTTTGCGAAACATGACAAGTCCTGCCCTTGCACATATGAGGCTATGCCGGGGGCGTTCGCACCAGAAGCGACTTTTCGGTGCCGATTATCCATGGCTGTTGCTGCGCCGCAGGGACGGAGGGCTGAAAACATGCTGCTTCGGAGCTTGTTTGAGAAGTCCGTGCAGGTAAGAGCAGCTCTTGCTGGTGCGCGCGTTTGCAATACGAACCTGTCGCTCCTTTTACGCTGTTTTTATTGGGAGTTCGCTCACAGCGTCCCAGGGCCCTTGAGTCGACTGGGGATGGCTCTAAGTGACGACATCGGTTTTGTGTACCCTGAAGCCTTCATCTCCCAATTTCCGCCCAAACGCTCTGCTTGCGCCGGCCCGCGCGCTGCTGCTGATGTGGGCACTGTCTCGCGAAGGACTGTCGCAGTGGTTCCGTTGCCGAGCAGGTCTCGTTGCGGCCGCACCCATTGCCTTTGCTGAAAGAGGTGGCAGCTTTCTTTCGTCGTCGAGCTGCATGTGCTTAGACACCCAACTGTTCAATACGTAGGTCCGCAGAACTACAAATGGCCAGTGAACGAAATTGTCGTCGACGAATTCAAGCTCTCTGCACATCCACGAGGTTGTGCGAAAGAGCAAATGCCTTGAACAAGCACCGTTGTCGGCAATGCAGACACTAACCCAGTGCCTACGTTGTAGTGTGCATTGGAAGTGCATGAGACGGATTGGAGCTGTGGGAAGAGCCGTTGCGACTTTGCCAGTGGTGCCGACAATCGATTGGCACAGTACTGAACTTTCAGTGGCCATTCTCTTGCAGGCGCCCCCACACCCTTTGGCTGATGCCACTGCGCTTAAGGAATTCGTAAAAGGCCCGGAAGGCTAGAGTTTCATCACGCCACGATTTTTGGCCAGACATTCCATTGGCACTTCACAGGCTCGGCCACGTGCTGTGTTTGCTGGCCCCCGCGGTACTAACGACGGCTGGGCAGTGCTCGTGAACGCCTCAGCGCAAGGCAGTGGCGGGGCACACGGGCTTCAACAGGCGTGTGTTTGCTTCCGGTCCCGTTGGACGACCATTAGATGCATCCGTGCAGACACATCTGCGACATCTGGCGCGACACAAATTGGAGGGTGCGCCAGCTGTGTTTCGAATTCATGGTGGTGGCTGTGCAGCAGCTGGCGATGGTGTCTCTGAAAAGCGTACTTCGGGGATGCAGTTTCCGAGCACTGTCCATTCTAATGAGAACAAGCACCCGCCTTCGTCACGCCTGGACACGCAGTGGAGGGATCCTTCTGATGTGCACAACGCACCCGTCAGCTTCATTTGTTGAGTCACTGATGCGCTTGTACAGTATGCTACGTTGGTACACGTTTGTTTGCTTGATTTGGGCCCAGGGATCCCCAGCGTGCTCTTTGGTGTGGATCAGTGACCGAGGTTGTCTGGACACACTGAGATTGCTTTGGCAGTGAGTCGAGGAAGCAGCGTCGTGTCACCCACTGACTGATATGCCATTTGTGTTTCCGACGGTGCAATCTGGAAGCTCACTTGCTGCGGCCGAGCTACATTTGCAGATAGTCTGACGCGAGAGAAGAATGGCATCAATTAAAACACGAACTGAAGAAATTTAGACCCCTTGGACCCTTGGTGCTGGTGGTATCCCATGAAGCTATAATGGGACCTGGCTGCAATCGCCATGGCATCTCGACTGTGCAACATATCACCAGCTTCACTGCGAGCTGTGACAGCGGTCGCCTCAATGGAGAGCACCGCTGGCGCCACTGCAACGTAAATTTTACATGTCGCCTCATGAGCGAAGATTTAGTCCCTCGTACACACCCCTCAGCGCCCCGTGTAACGCCCACAGGGACTGCAATTCGCCCACAGGAAGGCAAGTCAAGAGGGCTGGAACACTCGGTGCAGGTTGAGCAGAGCAATGTTTGTGGGCCAAGTCCCCCAACTCAGTGTGCATGCCCGCACGGTTGACTGGTTGTCATCCCCGCCATGTTGCAATGCCTCTGTGCCTCCCAGGGCTCTGGTCCTGCTGCACATATGGGGGTCGGGCGACGAGGGACCTTCCCTGTCAGTGGTCCAACAAATGTTTTAATAGTCGTGCTTGGGGCGCCGCAGTCCTGTCATCTCATCTTCTCTGGCCGAATCCTAACGAACCAGCAATGGATCCTTGATTCGTGCGCATGGGTTTTTCGAATTCATTCAAGCACTTTGGATCTCCCAAACAATCCTGAAAAAAAACGAAAAGTAAAAATGAAAAAAGTAAAAAATGAGAAAAAGTGAAAAATTGAAAAATGGAAAAATGGAAAAATTAAAAAATTGAAAAAATGGAAAAATTAAAAAAAGAAAAAATGGAAAAAACTCCTGCGGCAACGTGAAGGTGGGCCCACGTGCGATTAGTCACTGGCCTCGGTCGTCAGATTCCAAGGGAATGAATACCATCCTGCGCCCCCAGCGTCCAACAGTGGCCGGCCCAGGCCGCAGCCATGGATATCGGCTGAGGGCCACACGGCGACTCCCACAGAGGGCGCCGCGACGGGCAGCCCCGCCGGTGGGCCATGTGGCTGATGATCGGCTTCACGATCCTGGCGTCCACGGGCAGCAACTTCGCCAAGGTGCTGCAGAAGAAGGCCACGCGCAGCCTGCCGCGCCTCACCATGGACGCCGCCTCTCTCAGGCAGTACCTGAACAACCGGGACTGGGCGACGGGCGTGGCCCTCGACGTCGCGTCGGCGCTCGTCATGGCCGTGGCGGCCGCCAACACGCCGGTGGGTTGGCCGGGGCAAAGAGTGTTGCGGGACAGAACCACGAGGCATTATCCCATTTTCCTTCCATCTTTGAAGAGATGTAGCGGGAGTAACGAGACAGAACAAGGCGGCTGGATTGGCCGGGGGGATGCGGAGGGCATGTTGCACTTGGGCCACTTCGCGCGACGAGCGTCACCTTGGCCATGTGGAGGTCTCCAGGCGTTGTGTGCACCGTTTTGCCGTTGAATTACGAGAGTTCTGGCTCATCACTCGCGACAATTGTCGCGAATAAGACCGGGTGTCGCAAAAGTTTCGCTGCAGGGGGATGCAAGAAAAGACCTCCCCCCACTTTCCCCCTCCCTTTGCAGAGCACAGTCTTGGAGACAGTGTCTCATATTAGAATGTGATTGGATATCCGATGGCGCAGCAAGAGGATCAGACAACGAAGGACATGCAGTATGGAATTCCGGAGTTTAAAAGGGGGGGGATAAGGGGAGGGATTGGGGGGACGGTGAATTGGGTTTATTGGTGATGGTGCTTCTCAGATCAATGGGAGCTTGAATGCTGCAAACTTCCTATCATTTGGCCTGCGTGCATGCTGCAAATGCACTCCTTGTCCATTCCCAACTTAGGCATGGGAGATACGTGGATGAAGACGAGTGTTCCCTATATGGGTGGGCCAAGGGAGGAATGTTGGGCAGTGGTATAGCATCCTGTGTGGCAGTGGCGATTTGGCAATGATATGGACCTTCAATGAGGAGATTGTGCTCGCAGGTGTCCATCCTTGTTCCCATTCAACCTGTTGGCCTGGTGTTCCTCGCTGTGTTCTCCCATTTTTATCTCAAGGTAAGATGTCCTGGTGGCAGAATTGCCTGTAACGTCAGTGCTCAAGGTCAGCATTTGTGGTGGCCCTGAAAAGAAAAGAGATGCGGGCCTTATGCAGCCTGACAAGAAAGCGCAAGTCGATGTGAAGCCCAAATGGTTGTCTGTGCCTAGATGATTTCTCCACCTGGAAGAAGAGAAGTTTGGCCTGTTGTGCTCAAGACAGAGCAGTGTGTGTCTTCCAGGAACAGATGCAGCGATGGCAGGGGTGGTGTGCGTTCACATGCTGCATAGGGATCATGGGCCTAGGCTTCACAGCAGTGCCAAGTAGCAGTGAGGATGTGGATGGCCCAAGGGTGGCATTGACAGTGCTACTCGTGTGGGCAGCCGTAGGTGCGTCTGCCTGACTCCAGGCACATCATGTGAAGCAGGCCCATGGTAAGGGGATAGGACCTGCTGGCAGAACGGAGCATGTTGGGTGGGGAGGGATATAATGCTGCATGCACACTGCAAGGTGCCAAAACAAGTTCTGCTTCTGCATGCTACTGGCCATTTTCCCACAATCAATCACATTCTGTAGGAACAAAAGAATGTCTTTGGGAAAGTGGTAATGGCTCAACAATATGTGGTTGAGTGGGCTTCTTCATCTTGCATGTTTTGACTCTTGATGTTTCCCGAGCATTCAGCATCCTTGGTAGTGACAGCCAGGCCATCCAGCTCTATGGCTTGGGTGTCGACTGGGCATAATATTTTCATCAAGGATGTATATGCAAGCCAACGATTATTGCAGAAGCCAGGGGGTGTAGGACATTGCAGCGCCTTTTCCTCAACTATGTTTGTACCTCCTTCCCATGCCACAAAAGAAGTTGCAGTAGTCTTTAAATGTGCAAGAAGAAACATGCAACAACAGGTGCAAGTAGGACAAGCAAGTTGTGCTGGCGTTGTGAACAACAGTTGCGCTGCACTGAGCTTTGATTCCTTTACAATGTTCAAATGAATTGAGCAGTTCAAATGGCAGCTGTGTTACATTGAGTCAGCAGTACATCGTGTGTATTTGTTGTATAGTTGTCTGGCCAGTCAAAGCCACTATCCCTGATGACATGAAATATGAGTAATGGAATGTTGCTTTGGTAGCAGTTGCAGATGAAGATGCCCAGGCTTAGACAAGAAAAACAGTGTCATCAGCATCAACATACAGTGTGAAGTGCACTAGTCGAGTTCCTTACAGCATGGAAATGTGTCCCTATGCAAGACACGTGTTCTTGTTGTAAGGAGTTCAACGGTTGCAGCTCACACTGTACTTGAAGCACACAGTGGAATGGCGATTTAGGCACTTGATCAATGTCATTGCATTTGCCTGCACCTGTCATCGCCCGCAAGGTGGAGGGGCAATGTCATGTTTTTTTGACAAACACAATCCAGGGAAATACTGAACGGCATGAATGTAGTTGGCCTCTATGTAATTGACCCAAATGTATTTGAATGTAGTTACCCTAGTTGGCATAAATGCTGTCCTTGCCTTTATTGCTGATTTATTGCATTGGGCTGCAGCCACTATTTGAATTCTGCAAAATGATGCTAAGATTGGAATGGAGAAATGATGCCCTTTGTGCTCCTGCAAGCACTGGTGCAGTGCATGCAGTACCAATGTCAATTGGCTGTGTTCCGCATGGAATCAGGTAATGAAATTTTAGGTGTGTACAGCCAATGTTGAGATTCGGTATGCATGTTGTATCTGAACTTGGCAATGTGGAGGCTCAGTGGTTCTCCAGATTCTGAGCATGCTTCGCCCTTGGATCGCTCGCAGCCCGGGAAGATCTAGAGAAAGGAAATCAAAATGCAACATTTGGAACTCTTTTGTCAAAGTGAATTAGACAGTGATGCAGATAAAGCCCACTTGCTGCCCGCTCTATGTCTAACTGATGTCATGTTGGCCTGTGTGAAGCTGTTTCATCAGCATTGCGGCAGTTGAAAAGGCAGAAGATGCCAGAGGATGATGGGCCTCTTGCGCAGGAAGGGATGTGGTGTGGCCTTGAAGCAGGGATGTTTTTTGGGTTGTCGACAGTGTCATGCAGGACAGGTAGGTACTTACTGGATGCACAGCGCTCCTTGTTGTAATGGAGTTCAGGCTGGGGTGAGCACGTTTAGAGGCTGTTCACCATATGCTTTGGCTGCCTTTTGTTGTTCATGATGTTGGCATGTGCTTATATCAACTTTCTTTGAAGGTTATTGCACTGTCAGTTGTTGCTAGATTCTGACAGCAGAGCAGTTATGTTTCAGCGATGCACAATGGATGCTGTTGGCACGTTGACAAACAGCAAGTGCAGTAATGGAATAGCGATAGGTGATTCTTCTAAGGAATGAATGCTGTGTTTGTCCTTGCCCAGGCTTCCTCATGTCCAGGGTGTCTCTCCTGTTTGCCCCATTGGGCCTGGCATTTGCTGCTTTCTTTACAAGCTCCGGCTTTGTGCTCCAGACGAAAGGCCTAAAGGATGGCAACACTGTTATGGTGTGCACATTTCTGTCTGTGTCCAGCATGGTGTCAGGTAGGCGATGGATGCCCTTTGTTGTCCGGGCAGCTTGTCTGGAAAAGTGGTGAAATGAACACTGCCGGACAGAGTCATGATCTGTGTTGCATTGCTCTTCATCATTCGGTTGCTGTGAATGGAAATTGTTTTATAGAAAGCACAGGTGCTATTGTGCTGTACAGAATGGTTCAGGTTAGGCCAGCCATCTTTTCACACCACGTCCCAACACAGCCAGTCCAGAAATGGCTCAGGTGGCGTTCTTGCCATGTGTTGCAAACGTGGACGGTTTGTTTGGAGCACAATGTCATAGTGAAGATTTCAGAAGCCTTCGTAGCAATGCTCCAACAGCCAGTAGTACTACCACAAGGACTCGTTGCAGGCCAACTCCATTTGAAAGTGCTGCAGCTGCACCTACTTCTTAAAGCTGGGCCTTGGGGAGGGCTACAATTTGTTTCCTGCCCGCACAGAATTGGTTTGCTTCCATTTTATCCAAATCCAGAACAACATCGTCGAACCGCCATCCAAGACGAAAAAACATTGCCAACCCATGCCGTGGTGCAACGCATCCGTACCACAGCGAAATGGATCAGTTTCAGACCCGTGTGTCCTATGTTGAAGCAGAGACATTGGTGTGCGCATTGTCTGAACAGTTTTGTTCAGGCACTGCAGTGCCAGACATGGTATTGTGGCCTAGTACCCACTGTTGGACAAAAGGATGTTCTGTAGAGGAGCCGTCTGTATCCGAGGACTCTGGACAAAATGCAAGGAGAGGATGTAAGACATGCTTCCTGCAATCTCCAATTGCCAAGCATACCACGATGCTGTCATCGAGGTGTCCTACATTCTAGCAATGCGAAGTGAATGCTTTGGTGATTCTTGCGAATGCACAAATCGAATTGGCCAGTGGGAAATGTCAGGCTGTTGGTTATTCATCGTAGGTATCACGGCATCTTGTTCTGTCCATTGCAGGGGTTCTGATTGGTTTGCTGGCACTGGATGAGAAGCTGCCAGCGACTCGAGGTAACAATCTGCATTTTGGAGTGCTGTGAATCGTAAGCAGGCACACACCTCACCAAGTCGTTCACGCAAGAACATCCGCAAATCATAGGGTGTACTACTAAAATGGACATCAGTGGCTTCTACCATTCCGAACTTAACGAACAGGGCTGGGAAAAGGGTTAGAGACAGGGTGAATTGTATCCAGCAGTAAAATGTGTTTGGGTTTGAAGCCAGTGCTGTTGCACTTCATGTAGTGCCTTGGGATAGCTGATCTGGATAGAGTTGCCGCGAACAGCCTGATGCAAGCAGCAATTTGATGGCCAGGACTGTCAGCATTCAGTTGGTATTGTGCGCCAAGCGGCAAGCTGCTCGTGGGATATATCAAAGAACGAGAGCTTGCCAAATGCTTGCTCTATTGCCAGTTGTCTGAAAACGTGTGGTTGCACGTGCTATCAGATGCTCATAGCAGAACCACTGACCTGCATTCCTGTGTCCCAATGCAGGGGCCCAGACCATCCAATTCTTGAGCTGGGTGAGTGCGACACGCACAAGGTTTAATGGCCCTATTCACCAGCTGCACATGGTGAACTGGGCAACCTGCACCCATGTGGCTTTGCAGCAGGGTTCGGCTGCAACACACTTGTGCAGTCTGTTTGCCATGGCACAGAGAGGATATCGTGCTTTGCTCTACGCTTTGGCACAGCAGCACAGTACTTTGCCATTTACCTGTCAAATGAAGCAAATGGGCGACTCCCTCCAAATAACTGTTAAGCAGTCAACCTATCAGTAAACGTGGTAGACTTGAAGCACAGTGGAATCATATGCAATTTACGCATCCAGTGCAATGTACATGTTGTTGCACATTCAGTCCGATCTGCACGGACACCATACAACTGAAGCTGTGAACCAGTGTTTTGTTGCAGTGTTGGACAGGAGTCCTTCTGTCAGATCGCTCGTTAGGAAAGGTGCTGAAGCTTTGCACCAATGAGAGTTCGTTGGGTGTGCCTAATTTCACAGTTGTGTCTATCAACGACCATGAGCGGTTGAGATTTGCCACACGATCTATACGATTTCCCAACCGCAGGCTCCTCCATGTGCCCCTCCATAGGCTCTTTGGGATTCTCCATCGTGGCAGCAGCCCATAGCAATGTGACATGACTATGTCTGCGACCGACACGCAGGTGTGCTTGCTGGGCGGTGCAACTGTCTCCAACACTGGTCCAGGTAGGCATCCTCCCCATTGATGAAGCCAAGGAGCCAAGTGCATCAACCTTGCTTAATTACCAGTTGCTCATCACTTCCATTTTCCTGCGCAATTTTGGATATCATGTGCTTGACGGGTATGAGAATGGACTCGTTCCTCCCATGGGCGGCAAGACGGTCTGCAGGCCAGGCGAAGATGTCTCAGCTTTGCCGTGAATGACCTGCAAATCTTGTTGGTTTATTGGGGCGCTTTGCGTTTGCTCGTGATGCATTTGCACACCATAATGGCAGATGTCGAATACTGTTAAGTAGATGAGAACCGCAATGCATTCTCATGTGCATGCATCCTGTTCGTCCTGTCTGCCGTCGTCAAGGGTTTAAATCGTCACGTTGTCGATTGGCTGCGAAACCAAGAGTGAACAGGTTTTGATGGATTGCTTTCGAAGGGCATATGCAAGTTAATTCCATTACCCATACATGAGCTGTGCATGCCTCATGCAGGTGCACAGCGCCCCCCAACTCATGGCGGTGGCAGTGCGCTGCATTGTCGAGGCCACACATATCTGAAACAGTTGGCATTGGATGCTTCTTGTTCACCAACTTCTGATCCACTATCATGTGCCACCTATTGAGACGTGTTGAGAGTATTTGTTCTGCTGTATGCTAAAGAAAATAATAGTATTGTTTAGCTAATGTTTTTGCAGAACTATTCACCGTGTTGAAAGGGCAACACATTGTCTCTTTGCACCCATCCAGAGCAAAGAGGTCAAGCTCATTTCCATGCTGAAAAACGTGCCCCATCTCTGTTGCTCAGAGGCCCTTGGCCGCGCGGTGGAGCGCGTGCGGAAACGCGCCATCCCAAGGTGGCTGCTGGGATGCCTGCCGGCCTGGGTCAATCAGATGTGGAAGGAGGCCGCCAGGAAGGAGGAGCCAGAGCTGCCGGTGCACGAGCCGCCCGTCGAGCAGAAGCCGTGGGCTCAGGATCAAGGCGTCGGATCAAATGGATAATGGCCGTCGGTGCCTGCTGTGCCGCGTGGCAGCGGGACCTGATGGCCGGTCCACCAATTTTGGCATTGGGAAGGCTGCCGTGGTGTTGGGAATGCCTCTGGGGCGTTTTGAGCTCCAGTGGATCACGCTGAGGAGGGCGTGCGTGTTTATCTACAGATCTGAACTTCATAAATTGGCTGGTCGAGTGATTGGTTCTCCAACAGAAAACACCCTTTCGGCCCACGCTGGCTCCGAAGCGTGGATTGTCGTCGAATTTAATATCAGATATGAGGGGAGACGCAGGAACAACGTGTCACAAGGCTTGTGAGCCGTCCTTGTCTTCGGGAATGGGCGAACGCAAGTGGGCAGCGACAATCAGGTATGATAGATTCAATGCTGCCGAGTGAGCTTTGCATGCCGATCTGTGCCGTCACTCCCGTGGGGGCAATCCCCCCGGGGTACATTGACTGCGAGCGCAGAGAGTTTTGAACGCAGCCAGCAGTAGTTCAGTTCTGTACTGTGTCTCCAATGCATCATAATCCAGGTACGAAACACGGCCGAGACTGTTATCAGCAAGCTGCGCACCAGCAATGGGAGCTTGGACTCTGAACAAGCCAGCACTGAAAAAGAAAATGAGGCCGCAAATGTTGCATATCAAAGTATGTGCTGGGCAGGGAATCGAAAGAGCCAAGGAAAGCAAGACACCGGACAAATGCTTGGCGGATTTGCGAATGTCTCGTATGTAACGGCGCCTGCTGTGCGTGCTGATGGAGTGCTGTGGCGGCAAATGCGGCTGTGTTGCGGCGGGCGCGTCATTTATTCACATGTCCACGCGCCCAATGTCCACATACGCACTGCATCCACGTCCCAGCCATGCGGCATCCCAATTCTGGCCACACGCCGTCACCTCGGAACAGAATATTCGTTTCGAGCACCTCCCAGGGTGTCCGCGCAAAACTCCCAGTCGCGGCTCGTCGACACAAGCCAAACGGCCCTTGGGCACCGCTGGGTGGGTCCCTCAATGGCCCCTTAGTACTCTGCCGAAGGTCCGCCCGCCCGTCGAACCTGTGAAACCGACCACCAGGTCCCCTAGTGCAGCAGAAGTTCATATCAGAGCGCAAGAAGTCCGCGTTGATGACAGAAGACCCTTTTGCAGGGAGCGATCCGCCGGTGCGTCATCACGCAAGCGAGTCTGAACAATGCCATGCTGAGGTAACAAACATGTCGACCATGAATGGTTGGAGTCCAACTACGCACCATTCGCCATCCTGTACATCATCTTGCCCGCCCTGGGCGCCACCTCCTTCACGTGTCGCTCTAGCAGGGACACACAACGGGGATTGGATAGGAATCAGACATGATCTTCCGCGCGAGGTGGAATTTGTTCAAAGTGTTTGGAGACAAATATAAATCACTCCAGTAGCTGCGAGCAGCGTGGCTCCACATGCATGTGCCTACTCTCACCTGGAATGGCAAGCGTACGTGGTGGCCAGTGCATGTCTGATGCGTTCCTTCCAGGAACTGTACATTCAGAACAGTGACCAAGGCCATCACACAACCTAGCAGCGCATGGCGTCAGGATGCGAAGGCGCTAAGTTCTCATTTGCTGGCAAAACATTGAACGACGGAACCAGACAGCAGGTGATTTCTTGCGCCCCAAAATCCTAGCATGTGTATACAAACCCATCAAAAGTTTCGGCCCTTACTGCAGCTGCTCGAGATTCAACGTCTGTCGGATGAATGGCGCTGCTAACATCCGAATGGCGCTCGATCACATTTCGGCCCACGGCGGAGCGGCCAGGAATGCAGCGCAAGGCTGCCCAATGCTTGTGTGAATCCAATGTGCTGGTAAACTGACCAAAAGGGCGTTTGGGACTCGAGGATGTGGGGATATGCAGTGGTGATCCCCACTTGGAATAAAACCAAGGCACAGTTCGGGTATCCCTGATTGCAGCTCTGGCGGCATTTTTTCCGGTCAGGTTCTACGCTATGCTGCAGCTGGACAACAGTGAATAGAATCCGCACACCATCATACACCTTCCAATTTGCTTCCGATTGCCCAAGCACCGCGCTTCACATTAAATCTGTGACTTAGACGCCCAGAATGATGTGCCAGTGACGTGCCGTGGGCTAAGGCGGGAACATGTCACGAATCATGGTAACCGTGATTAGGTGTGAAGTTTGGCCAGTGTTGCCAACCTCGAATCCGGGTGTTGATGGCAGTTGCCCTCAGGACAGACGCCTTCGTCTGCCTGTTCGAGGCCAGGTCCGGCGGGACGCCCGTTCTGTCCGCCTTTGGCTGTGCAGACATCGTCCTGCCGGTCCTTGCCGAGTCAGGGCGGTGTCTCCTCCGACCAGGGGCTCCTGTGAGGCGCGCCTGCTGAAGGGCTGAAGAAGGCCGCGTTCCACGCACGTCATCTGTCACATGCGCAAGTGCATTTGATTATGGGGCCGTCCACTGTCCAGCATCCAATCGCCGCACGCAAATAGACCTTGAAGAACTGATGGTTTCATGGCTGTCGTTATCAACAATCATCATTGATGCTGTTGTAACTGGAACTGATTGGGTATTGTTGACAACTGAACGCATAAAAAGATGATGAGGCGCTAGGAATTGCATTGAGGATACTGATAAACAGACTGGACATAAGAGACAGAACTCCTGTTGTCTCTTCGCTCGGCCGCAAACCGTTGCGGTGGACTCGAACCTACGGTCCCCGTCCAGGGTCGCCACCCCTCGACCCTGCATGCATTCGTCAATGCAATGCAACGCAATGCAACGCAATGCA